AAGCTCCTCTCTCTCTTAGGTAGGACCATCTGACTGACGATATTTGGATGCTTTCGGTTAGCAGCACTTTATCCTCTGCTGAAAACTGTGGAGTTGGAAGGTCTGTCTCTTCCCATAGTAATAATACACCCCAGGGATATTTCCTCGCCAGTGCTGAAGGAAATCAGAGCAGAATAGAACAAAAGGTCACAGCTATGCAACTTCAGCTAAGCCAAAGAAAAATCTAGTAATTCTAGCCAACAATCTCAAGAACAGCAGCTTGTCTCATACTGCATAAACCTTGATCTTAGGATAAGAAGTCTTTTTCTTTAGAACTTAGAACAAAGTTCTAGAATGAAAACTAAGACAAATATTCCTTCCTGAGAAAAAATGTAATGTATACATAGGAATTATGGTAGATGTCCCGGAATATAATCTCCCTGAAACATGCTAGAAATTTGGAAAAGGAGAGTATATTGCAGATTCTGTCACAATACAGTCGTGCTTACAAATAGGAAACAGCATTCCTTTTTGCTATCTTGGTTCTGTTGCTTAGGTGATTCTTAAGCAAGAAATGAAACACATTTCTTTTCATGGTTTAGGAGCAGATTGGGAATCGCTCAGCCAATAAGTCTGAATATTACTTTCAGATTACTTATAGGACTGCCCGTTCCCTATAGTTCATGCCCATCATGCTGGATATGGAAGGGTGGGCTCAGTCTGGATTCCCTTGGTGAAGCGGTGTCACCTGGTGTTGCCTAAGAAGCATGCTTTCTCTGTCATAGTGCCTGCATTATGGAACAGCAGCCTCCAGAGAGTACCAATGGCTCTAACTTCTATTGACCTTCAAGAAAGCAGTGAAGATCTGGATTTTCCCCTGGATAATGATAGAGTTGGCATGTGATAACTGATGGATGGATTTTAGCAGGGCCTCAACTGTCAGATCCGTGTATCTGTCATTTCTTCAATGAAAGAAGAAAAGGGGGGGAGACTGATAAAGATATTCTTCTTGATGTAACCTGAATATATTTAATCTTATATCGAATTTGTATAACCTACACATGAAACAATGGAGAGATGAAACCCAGATGGCCAGAACCTTCACCTCTGAGAGAGACAGCCAGGAGATGAAAAGACCATAAAAATTCTACAGTGAGATGTGTCCTGGGAAACTCTGAAAAAGATCGTTCTAAAAAGTGGGTGGGGGGAATTAACATGTTGGCTCTTTGTTTTACTAAATACACATCTCAATATTTTGAACGGTTTAATTTCACTCTCAAATAGTTTCCTGGGAGAAAGAACTTCTTAGCAGATGCACTGTCCAGAAAACCCCAATACAACAGCAAAAAGATTGAGGTTATAAAACCAATGATCCAACCGACCCAACTAGCAGCCAAAGTAATCACCCAGGCACAAGAGAAAAGAAATTCATCACTGACTGAAGACACAACAACATCAATATTTAAGGAGGCACTACTTAAGGATGACTGGCTCCAGGCTAACAAAAACACTTGTTTAATCAAAGATGGACTGGCCTGGGTAGAAAACAAACTTTATGTCCCTGCAAGCTTGAGAATGGACCTCATGAAACGCTGCCACGACTCCAAAATAGCGGGACACTTTGGGCTTGTAAAAATCCTGCACCTCATCAAAAGACAATTTTGGTGTCCGTCTCTCAAAAAGGATATTGAAAACTATGTTGCGAGCTGCCCCACCTGTGCTGCTGCAAAGAGAAGACAAGGAAAATCTCCTGGACTTTTACAGACAGTAGCAGACCCTTCTGCACCCTGGAAAGAGATTTCTATGGACTTTATAGTGGAGCTTCCCGAAAGTGCTGGAAATACTGTCATTTGGGTTGTAACTGATCTTTTTTCCAAACAGGTTCACTTTATTCCATGCCAAAAGATCCCAACTGCCAAGGCATTGGCAAAGATGTTTCTAATACACATTTATCACCTTCATGGAGCCCCCCAATGGATTATCTCAGATAGGGGTGTTCAGTTCACATCCAAATTTTGGCGGGCGTTTTTAAATCTTCACCCAGGGGTTATCATCATCAAATCACCCCAGACAAAGGGGGTTCTGAACGTTCAAACAGCGTATTAGAACAATATCTACGATGTTTTATTAATTACCAAAAGGACAATTGGACTGACCTTCTTCCTTTTACAGAAGTAGCATACATTAACTCAGTCCATAGCAGCACAGGGTTCACCCCATTCCAAGTAGCCACGGGCCAAGAATTCAACCCCATGTCGGAACTACCCACCAAAGAACCTGAAATCCCCTCCCTTAAGGTGTGGATAAATAACTTGCAAGCCACATGGCCAGTGGTAAGATTAGCATTACAGGAAGCTAGAGCAGCTTTTAAAGTTCAAGCGGACAAAAAACGCTGCGATCCTAAATCTTTCAAGATTGGGGACCATGTATATTTGTCCACAAAATTCTTAAACTCATTACAACCCTCTAAGAAACTGGGGCCAAAATTCATTGGCCCATTCCCCATCTCCAAAATTATTAACCCCTTGACGGTAGAACTTCAACTCCCCAAAACATTTAGGCAGATTCATCCAGTATTTCACTGTAGCGTGCTCAAACCGGAGATCACTTCAAACCTCAGACCCCCCACTTCCCACACCTCCAACTCCCATCATGGTACATGGGGAACAACATTTTAAAATTAAAGATATCCTTGATTCACGCACTCACTGTGGATCCACACAATATTTAGTAGCTTGGAAATACCTTCTTTCCTCAGAAAATGAGTGGGTAGCCAAACGACATATAAAAGCACCCACATTACGATGAAAGTTCTACCTAAAATACCCTGATAAACCATCCTAAATTGCAAATGTAATGCATGATTTTGTTTTTTCCAGGTAGACCTATCTGTTTTTTAAGGAGGGCAGGATGTCAGATCCGTGTATCTGTCATTTCTTCAATGAAAGAAGAAAAGGGGGGGGGGAGACTGATAAAGATATCCTTCTTGATGTAACCTGAATATATTTAATCTTATATCGAATTTGTATAACCTAAACATGATACAATGGAGAGATGAAACCCAGATGGCCAGAGCCTATCACCTCTCAGAGAGACAGCCAGGAGATGAAGAGACCATAAAAATTCCACAGTGAGATGTGTCCTGGGAAACTCTGTAAAAGATCCTTCTAAAAAGGGGGTGGGGGCGGAATTAACAAGTTGGCTCTTTGTTTTACTAAATACAGATCAGGATAAGGGGAGGGGTTTTAAACTCCCTTATCTATCTCTGCATGCCTGAGAGATCTTAGGTGCTGCTTTTGACCCCTACATGAATTGTCTCATCTCAGTAAAGGATTCCTTTTGATACGTTTTCAGAAGTTCATTCTAGTTGATTGATTGGGAAAAGTTCTGTAGCCTGACACTCAACATAGTTTATTTTAAATGTGTTTTTTTTAATTTCATTATGTTTTTGTCATCTAGAGTTCCTTTGGTACTTAGGTAGCTATATAAATTTGTTAAACAAATAAATGTCTATGACTATCAGCTACAGTACTAGAGACCAAGCCAAAACAGATTTTTAAGTTTTATGGAGAGAATATGTCAGCCCTTTGAGGTAATCCTGACAGGAAGCCCAATCCATGAACACCAACACTACCTTTATTGTAAGGCTACAGTAGCAGGATCTTGCAAGTCTCTTTCTTTCTTCCTTCCTTCCTTCCTTCCTTCCTTCCTTCCTTCCTTCCTTCTCTCTAGAAAACTAGGGAGGGTCCCTTCTGAGATGTTTCCCAGTCCTGAGTTACCTTTGGCATGGTGATAGTCTAGGCTGCAGCTCTTTTTCCTGTGTCTCAAGGTCATTCCCACGTACCATATTCCAGAGCAAGAGTTGGGCTCAGCTTTAGTTTTTGAAACTTGGCAGAACAAAAAAGTAATGGCAAGGGAAAGGTCCTGAGGAATTGTTTGTTGTTTTTTAAGAGCAAATTGTGTTTTCATTTAAGGATTGAGATGGGCCTTTAAATTTTGAAACGTCAGAAGTTTCTGAAAACAAACTTTGCTAATATTTAATTTCCTGTTGGGAAGTCAGCTGTGGACTTGAAATACTATTATGTATGAATTGTTCTCTATCAGTGTCTGGTGTTGATGCTGATGTTTTAAAATATTGCATATTTATGAACATGCATCAGCTTCCTGGGTTGTCCAGCCAAGTTGAAAAGCACCTGTATATAAATAGAATACAAAATACAACTCTTTGGTCCTTATTAATACTATATTTTATCCCACACTCACATCTCTTGCTTGCTTTTTGAAGCTACATACTTCCTCGCTCATTACCCCCCTTTTAATGTTTAAATCCAATGTGATTTGTACAGCCTCCTTTTCATTGGTCAGGAAAAATGCTTTGATATCTAATAATTGTCACATATTAGTAATGACACAAAAGAGGAACGGTTGGCAGGATGAGCTGATCATATCTCAAAATATCAAGGAGCCATTGTCATAATTCTCTTAATTGCAAAAGGGGAACAGCACCCCCTGAGTCTGCTTCTGGCTTTCCCACAGTAGCGGTCTGCCTGATTATCTTGGGGAAACACAATAGCTAGAACTCAAATAGTAGTTCCATTTTGAGGTGCGGGTAGTCCTCAATATATATTCAGTAGCATTAAGAAAGACTTATATTCTTTTGAGGGCAGCTGCAAGACACTGTCTAAAACCAAAGAACTTCAGGTACCCACAAGGTCCCAGGCCTGCCCTGAATGAGATTCCCCCCTTTCATTTGAAGCCATCACTCAAATCCTTACCACAAACTTCTTCCCAAAGTCTTCTCCTTGTCCCAGGCAAGGATCTAGAGAAACAGAAGTTAAAATCCTCTTAGGACAAATAAAACAAGTTGAAAGAACCAGGTTTCTGAGTATAATCACCAAATAACAGAGAGGAGTTGGTTTCTGTTAACAATTTTTGGTTAATGAAAAAATTGCTTTAATTTCATAAATTCATGAATACACTGTTTTACTCTTTTAAAAGGATTCTTTTTTTAAAATTTCTAGGCCCATCCATTGTGACCCCTCCAAAGGACATCTGGAATGTCAGTGGAGCCCAGGTTTACCTGAGCTGCGAAGTCATTGGAATTCCCACTCCAACTCTCATCTGGAACAAGGTTAGTGGAAACTAGGCAAGTTTTGAAGGTGATCCAGCAGAAGATTTTCCTGGGGAACTTCATTAGAATAAATGAGTACCATGTCAGAACCCTGCCAAGTTCATGCCACATAAATGAAGGGGCCTCCGAGGTGCCTTTTACAGCAATGAGTCCGACGCAGAAATCCCTGAAGTCTGTGCTATTTGTAATGCTTAAGAGTACAGAAAGGGTACAGAAATAGAATGTTGTAGGTAACTGTGAGGAAAAAAGTAAACAGTTCACCATATTAATGGCTCCTTTAAAGCTATTACAAGTGCAAATGCAAAAGGATTAGAATGTAGCATGGTGATATATGAATTTAGGTATGTGACAGAAAGTGCCTTGTCAAGCCAAACTTTCTGCAGAGCCTTGGAAGTGTTATTTAAATCATAGAACGTTATTTTAAAAATTAATACTATGAATAAATCTGGTTCTGGATTCCATTCTGTTCACCCTTTTATACGAGCTCTGTTACTCTTCACCATATTAGGTCTTCCAAAGGAGCAGGTGCTAAGGAATGACTGGAACAGAATGCCAGGGTATTTCTGGAGACCTTGAAATATTTCAGGCAACAAATACAAGGCCTATTTTTGATTCAGATTCTTGGTTTCCTGTGAATGAGAAAAACAGAGGAACTGGAAAGGAGTTGCTGCTTCAGCAGTATGAGAACAGATAATATTGATGACCTTGACTTGTTTTGTAGTGGCTGAGAATTTGAGCCATGTGTTAGAAAGACCTTGATTTACCCATATTTTTTTTAGTTTCCAGTCTCTCCTTAGACATTAATTTTGTTTGACTTTATTCATGAAGAAGCCAGAATTTCAGAATGTGCTTCTGTATGTCCAGAAAGTTAGATAGTTGGTAGGGTTATTAGATCTGGGCTGCAAAAATCCAGTTGATCGCTATCGTGGTAGTTCCACAAATGGGAAATAACTGATTTAAAGTCAGCGATAAGAGTGTTGGCTTCACACTAGATTTTAAGCTGTAAATCATATTTGCAGAGATGATAACTTGGGTTTAAACAAAATATTAACATTTGGCCAAAGCCATTTCCATGGCTCACTAATTGTGCAATTAATGTGCACAATGTATGATAACAATTAAAGTTCAGAAATAAAGGGAGAGCGGAGAGAGAGAGAGAGAGAGAGAGAGGGAGAGAGAGAGAGAGAGAGAGAGAGATAACATGTTTATTTCATGTACCATAATAATTTGTAGATGTACTTGTAGTAGCCCTAGAAGACAATGGAAAAAATGGGACAAATTATGTTGGGAATAATAAAGATAATATAGAAGTGTTCATCTCAAGTGTTGCTGGTAAAACAGTGTGATGTAGTAGTTAAGGTTTTAGAATATGACCAATGAAACCTAGGATTTTTTTCCCACAGCACATAATTCAACTTTAGAAGATGCTATTGTGAGAGGTGGTGCTGCTTACCAGCAGGGCTGGTGGCTTCAAAAAAAGGGATTGGACCAGGGGTGAAATTCAATTTTTTTCCCTACCGGCTCTGTGGGTGTGGCTGTGGGCGTGGCGTGGTATACTTGGTATAATAGTAATAGCAACCAGTCGCAATTTTTTACCCATTCAAATCGTTCCTACCACCTCTCCCGAAGTGGGCCGAGGTGGTTGAATTTCACCCCTAGATTGAACCAGTTAATGGAAGTCATGGAGATCAGTAGTTTTAGCGTTGATTGCAATATGACTGCATCTGTTGGGAAACTAGCAAGCTTCCTTGTCCAGGTGGCTGGCCACTGTAAGAACAGACTGCTGGACTAGATGGACATGGGTTAAAATCCAGCAGCCCCCTACTTAAGTCTCTATGTTTAGTTTAGGTCCAACCTTAGCATGGAATCTCACAGGCTGGGCTTTTGCGCCAGTCATTCTTTCTCACCTGACTTCGCTCTCGTGATTGTTATGATGGGCATAAAATGAAACAAGATCTCTTAATATAGAAATTAATTCATCTCTAAATTATGAGAGGAATAAAATTAATATAGGTTAAATATAAAGTACTGCACAAAAGGCAGGTTATAAAGCAATAAGATAATTATTTTCACAATAAGGAGAAAGCAAAGGGGCCTCATGCCCTGGAGGGTTCCAAATAACCATTTTTTTTTCTATGGAGAGGTCTAATTTACCATCTGATTTCTCAGTATTTGACGTGAATTTAAAGTAAGTGGAACCCAAGAAATGTGTTTTTCCTTCCCTTTCCTTTTTTTCCTTTGCCTTTAAATAGGCCTTGAAAACCTGGTTCTTGTTCCAGGGATGAGGGTTGCCCCCTTTCAGTTTTCAGTTGGATGTGGCATGAGAAATAAAGCATTCATTGTTTTCCCTCTGGGCAATTGCCATCTTTCTAGGAACTATTATGTTTCTAGGTTTCTTTCTTTTTTCATTTTATAAGTTCCCAGAATCGTTGCAAGGTCAGGCAGCCCTAGGGCTGAGGGTGAGAAAAAAAATGAGAGAGGAAGACGGACAGATGGCTTTGGATATGACATCATGGGTGTACAATGTTCAGATGCTGATTGAAACACAAGGCAATAATGGGAGGATTGAATAGAGTCTGAACTGATAATTAGAAGACATAATAGTGTGGTTACAAAAATAGGATTTCAGATGGTAGCTCTTGCAATGGGGCTATTTTCCAAGATATGTAACAGAGAGAAGTAGGAGAACTACAGAGAAAAGAGAAGTAAAACTATTTCATCCCTTCTGCCCAGAAGCCAACTATATTTGGCTCTTCCACAATTGTCAGAAGGAGCAACCTAACCTATTTCTACTGTAACTTTGGGAACTTTTTCCTCTATTGGCTTCTTTCTGTTTTTCCACCCCTCTACCCCCTGAAATCTTTTCTTTTACTAGTCATGTCAGGGACCATATTAAAACAGCTATTTATAAATCACTCTCTTTGAGCAAAGAAATGGTTAAAAGAAAATGTTCAGTTACTCAAATATCCACAAGGAAATGGTTGTGTTTGATTTGTGATCCTTTACAGCAGATCCCACAGTTTTCTCCAGTAGTGTGACTACCATGCTTAGAAAAGTTGGTCTCCAGCTGACTGATTACAGGGGAACATTTTTTGCCTGTTTTGGGCAAGAATATGGAAATAGGTTTTGACCCTGCCTTCTAGTTTAGTATTCCCTTGTCTCCCATTCAAGCACAAACCAGGTCATAGCTGCCTTCTGCTTGACCAACCATCTGCTGCCACATCAGGGCTCTCTTCTGACTCTTACTACTTCTAAATTATTTGCTTGACCTTTCTAACTCAAGGAGATAGAGTGATACCAATCACAAATACTGTTCTCATTTTAGTATTCCAATTTTCTGCTCAATGACCTCTTTGTCAGAAGTAAAAGCACCTAAAAATGCCTATTTGGCAATGCTCAAGGGGAATTTATATGGTTTTTTTTATTATTTAAAAGATTTCTACAATTCTGGACAGCTAGCAGCAATAATTAAAACATATGGAAAGACTGCCTTGATTTGAACTCTTGAACATTACTTACCCAGTGAAGGAATGAGTTTCTAATGCCTGGGTGATAAAGTATTATCTAGGCAATAAAATGTGCATCTCCTCCTCCATAATGAAAACACAAAACCAGCAGATAATTGTTTATATTTCCATGGCTGCTTTTCATTAGTCACAGTGGTTACTTTCTCTTTGAACAACTGGCAACTCTCCCTACCATATTATATAAGCAATTCGTCTTTTTTTAAAATGCAGTTTATTGTATAACTAAGGAAAATTTGCTTTTTAAGGAAATAGTAGTCTATTCTAATTGGGCCTCCTGAAAATAATTTGTGCTCTTAACCAACATTCAGTGTAGAAAGTCTGAAATGTTTTAACTATATGGTATATTATTTATTTATTTGTTTATTTATTTATTTGATTTGATTTGATTTGATTTGTCAATTGCTTACAAGATAATAGGTATAAGTATATACATAGTTATGAATACATGAAATGGGTACATATAAGAAAAATAAAAGAAACAATAGGACAGGGATGGTAGGCACATTGGTGCACTTATGCACACCCCCTACAGACCTCTTAGGAAAGGGGTGAGGTCAATAGTAGATAGTCTAAGGTTAAAGTTTTTGGGGTTTGGGGAAGAAACCACAGAGTCAGGAAGAGTATTCCAGACATTGACCACTCTGTTGCTGAAGTCGTATTTCCTACAATCAAGTTTGGTGCGGTTAACCTTGAGTTTGTATCTATTGTGTGCTCTTGTGTTGTTATGGTTGAAGCTGAAGTATTCATTGACAGGTATGTCATTGCAATGTATGATTTTATATACCATACTTAGATCAGACCGAAGACAGCGTAATTCAAGGTTTTCTAGGTCTAGAATTTCAAGTCTGGTGGCATAAGGTATTCTACGAGTAGGAGTGGAGAATTCTTCTTGTGAAATATTTCTGGACTTTCTCAACTGTGCTAATATCAGATACGTAATGTGGGTTCCAGACTGATGAGCTGTATTCGAGTATTGGTCTAGCAAATGTTTTGTATGCTCTAGTTAGTAGTGTGATATTACCAGAGAAAAAGCTACGTAGGATTAGGTTAACATCCAGGTTCAGTCCTCCTGACCAGTCCAAAACTCTACCCACCCACCTTTCCAAGTCTTTACTCCCATCAGGGGTATCCAACCTTGGCAACTTTAAGACTTATGGCTTAATTCCTCAGCATGGCTGGCTGAGGAATTCTAGGAGTTGAAATCCACAAGTCATAAAGTTACCAAGTTTGGAGACCCCTGACGGCCAATCTTTCTTTTCATATATAGATAACAAGGGGACAATATAGTGTCCAAAGAGTGGAACTTCTTCCAGGAGACCGAGATAATTTAGCCGTTCAGACACGTGGTGGTCCTGAAAAGCATGAGGTGACAGGGTGGGTATTGGTAAGTAAAATTCTCTTTCAGGTTAAATTGTGATTTTGAGAATTTTGCAGCAAGTAGAGAAATAAGATTTTTCTTCTTGGAGGTTGGTTGGGAGGAATGTTGACACATCATGAGGAAAATGATATGCTGGCTTTCTAGGTTGAATGATTAGGTTTCACCTAAGAATTAGTATATAATCTATTATGGTTATGCCATCAACTGCCCATCAACTGATGATACTGTGTGTTTAGTCTCAAATGCTTTCCGCTATTAGCTGTAATTACTGAAGCTGTTCTTAATCCTTTCGGAATTAATGGAGACGACATAACAGAGCCATGGTGGCACAGTGGTTAGAATGCAGTATTGCATGCTAACTCACTGCTCACTGCCAGGAGTTCAACCTTGACCGGCTCAAGATTGATTCAGCCTTCCATCCTTCAGAGATCGGAAAAATGAGGACCCAGATTGTTGGGGGCAATATGCTGACCCTGTAAACCACTTAGAGAGGGCTCTAAGGCACTATGAAGTGGTGTATAAGTCTAAATGCTATTGCTAAAAAGTTTGTTTAAGGAACATTCAGGGCCATAGCATGTATAAGGATATGAACAACCTTGAGGAATGCAATTAACTATGACTCTACTGTCTACTCCAATAGATATCTCCATTGAGCAAAGATGATGCTGGAGAATATGAATGCCACGCATCTAACTCTAAAGGAGAAGCCACGGCTTCTGGAAAAATTACTGTGGTAAATTCCTTAAATGAAATACCTGCAAAAGGTACGTAGGTCTGCATAAGCACTCCCTTTTCTATTGGATCTAGTTAAAAAAAAATAGCCTGGGTTGATTATTAATTGGTAGTACATTTTGTCATGATTTGTGACCAAAATATGCGTTTCACATCTTTGTAAGCTTCAACTGGCTTAATGTATTTATTATTGTAAACCATCTCCTGCATTAAATTCTTGTTCCTTGCGCTGGTATCACTGAATCCCTTTAATGTCTACGACCAGCAGTCTCTGAAAAAAAGTAAAATACCGAAGAAAGTTTGCTTACTTGTTATCTATGATTTTAAATTAATCTAAAATAATTGTGGAGGAAGAAGGAATTGTTATCTATTTCTGCTTTTTTTCTTGCTTCAGTGAAATACCTTTGATTATTTCTATAGCGACTCATTTCTCTGGAATGTATCTCAACAATAACAAGTTTTCTTAAATTAAAGCACACTCTCATTTTTTTTGTAGGTGAAAGTACTGAGCTGTAAAAGGTGAACCATATATACTGCATATTGAGAGACAGTGCCTTTCATCTATAAGAAGTTTGTTTTTCGGAAAATTCACAATCAGCCATGGCTCTGTTTTACTTCCTACTATTTTTGCTGTAATTCCAATAAAGTATTAAGCGAATGTCTGGAAAGCTTTTATTTCTATTTACATAAAACAAAATTCACACATTCACAATCTGAAAAATAAACTTCCAATAAAACACACCACGTGTTGGGATTTAAAACACATTTAAAAAGGAAGTTTAAAGCAGGCAATACAAATTTCAGGAAAAGGTGAATTGTTTGAAGGCTACACACTCATCATTCGAGGTGCAATACTCATTGACATCAGTTCTTGGAAAAGTAGTTTGCAGGCATATGGCATCCTCACCAGAGAAATCTGGGAAAAAAAAATGAGATTAACCTATATTAGCAAAAACATTTCATTCCAGAAAACGTTCTATATCTTTCCTCTAAAAAAACCCCCCATAGATGGGGTTAGGGAGTTCAGAAAAGAACACCAAGAAATAATTTTTTAAAGGCTTCAAAGGCTGTAAAAATAACAGTGATAAAAACATCTTTGGGAACAAGCTGGGAAATGTGAGAAAATTTAGAAAGGCACTGCTTAGTACTGGCCAAGCTTCACAGGTGTGATGGAATATGCACCTGGAGGAGCAGTGCGGGAAGAGTCTAGCAACACAGAACTTTCCCAGAGAGAAGCACGGATTAAGAGACTGCACAGTCCCAAGCTAGAAAGGAAGGGGACAAAAAGTTCAGGGTAGCCACATCTCTCGGGATATTACTCATATGTTAGTAGGTTGCAGATTTAGTTTGGCAAGGTTCTGTCTATTAGCTGTAAGCAAACAGAAGACTGAATTTGATTGGATTTCATTGTGTCCTCTCTGGGCTTGGGCCTGACAGAAGGCCTTCTATATAAAGTATGCTGCAATCGAAAAAGCCAATTTCTTCAATGTCAATTTCCCTCTAACCTGGATGAAGAAGGACTTAAAAGATGATGTAACCATCGAGTATTAGGGATTCCAGGATATTGAAGTGTACATTTAACTGGCCATTGACCTCCAGCTAACCATTGCTTGGAATTTGAGTCCCCTATCTTACACGCACACACACACACAAACCTATTTACAGTAAGTCAATGTGAAGTAGAGCTTGGCATCATCATAATTTAAGTATTAAAGAAAACACTTTAAAAGCAAAGATTATTACTATTGCCAGGAAAATCAAATGACATTTTGTAAAGATAACATTTTAAAATTCAATAATATTCTTTCAGAAATTTTCCAAACTCTTCTGAATGGATGGGAATAGTTTTATGCTGTCCCTCCTGCAGCGAGTGACCCTGAATATATTGTATTCATGGCAGATAACACAGCGTAGACAAGTATTGGAAAAAGTGCCTCAAGGGGAGACAAAGATAACAAGTTTTTTTTAAAAAAAAGAGAGAAAGAAAAGTGAAATGGAATGGGCAGTATTTTCCTACCCTCTTAACATACCTGTGTCTTATTACGACAACCCCTGCATTCATAGGTGTGGGTCCGGGTGTTTGCTATTGCCATTAGCCCGCACAAGTTGCATACGTGAACCTGATATGGATCTGAGGCTTCAAACAATCTTTCCCTCAGGAACTGCGCTGCTCCATGAGCAATCTGACAGTCTCGTTCCATCTCTCCAAACCGAAGACCTCCATCACTGGGTGAGGGGGGAAAAAAAAAATCATGTCCACTTCCTTATTTTTCCAAGTAAGAAAAACTACCCAATTGGGCTGCCCGTTACTCCTGCCCCAAATTAATGTAAGAAGGTACTACAGGAGAAGCCAGCTTATGTACCAAAAACGCTCCTGAGGAAAGAAAGTCTTTAAAAAACAAAGCATACCGGAAGCTCCAAAGAAGTGCTACATATGCACACTGTCAATACAAGAAAGGCTAAGGAAAATAAGACAATGTATTTCTCAACAATATATTTTAATACTCCCATCTGGGCTCCTAGCATTTCTGGTCTTAATATTTTTCTAGCCCTCATAGTTGCAAATAATATCACTAAAAGCTATGAAAAGGCTTGGGGAAATCTCAGAAATTAGTGGCATTTTCTAGTAAGATTTCTAAGGACTGTGGCTTTAAATACTTTGCTGAAATAAAGACAAATTGGAAAGCATACTAAGTGGGCATCTATTTCTTACCGAGATCGACCCTCCATAGGCTGCCTGTTAAGGATCTGAATAGGTCCTCTTGCCCTGGAATGAATTTTATCATCTACCATGTGTTTTAGTCGCTGATAGTAAGTGGGGCCAATAAAGATCTGTGATGTGATTTTGCGACCAGTAAAGCCATTGTACAAAACCTGCAAAAAGAAATTCCTCCTGTTGTAATAGCATATCAGTGCAGAGAGCAGACAGAATGAGACTTATCACTCATTCGTTGTATCAGATTACCTCATTTCCTCTCAGATGATACCCATAATCAGAGAGCAAGTTTGAAATCTTCTGCACGTTGACTGCATCATTAAAAGGTGTAGCATCACCTATCTCCCCTTTATTTGCTGATACCTAGAAAAGTAGAAGCAAAGACTAGCAAGTATTATATTGTTCCTCATCATAACTGTCTAAAATGAAACTGGGAAGATTATATTCTAACTCCCACTGAAGTGTAGAGCTCACTAAGTCATTTTACTTAAACTGAAGGGCTTCTGCAAGTCATAAATCGGAGAAATGGGGACTATGTAGTATTTACTCTGACTTCTTTGGAGGAAGAAAAGAGTAAATGTAAACTAAACATTAAAAGGATTTTAAATATTATGCAAATGTAGAGGTTGTGTTTTCCCAGCGTCTAGATTAACGCCACAGGCCAGAAAGATAGCTTTTTAATTTGAAAATAAAATGGCTCAAGATTGCAAGAGATTAAAAACAATCTGATTCAACCTTGGCTGGGTATGCTAGAGTCAGAGATGCCCCTGGAAGCTCTCAAAGAGAGCATGGTGGAGAATATCTCAGTTGCAAGCGGCAAGACCTACCTTTCCTTGAAGACATTCAATCAAGTGACCAATGGTCATTCGCGAAGGGATAGCGTGGGGATTGATAATTATATCAGGAGTGATGCCTTCACAGGTAAATGGCATATCCTAAAAACGAAAACAGATCAGAATCATATCTTTTTCCACAGCACCATTTTCTTGATTATAGTTTGCTTAATCTATAAGCTTTGCTGGGTTTTTTTGTGTGTATGATATAAGTCACAAAATAAACTATACAACTTCTTTATTCTGTCAGTCATCCAGGTCATGGTTGTCCCTAAGGTGCTTTTTCAAGAGGCAACTGGACTTTCTGATTTTTCTTTGAAGACATTTCACTTCTCATCCAAGAAGCTTCTTCAGTTCTGATTGAATGGGGGGGAATGGAAGGATTTATACTGTCATATCCCTCCCAACTCTGTTGAGAGAGGGCTGTTCAATCTATGTCAAGTTTGATCAGCCCTCTCTCAACAGAGGGGGGGGGGGATACTGCATCATCTATCTCCAGTCTACAACACAGTCCTTTCAACAGTTCCACGAAGGCTCCACACCTATTTGCACTGGTGACCCCGACGACACAGGTAAACCTCCAGGTAGCCTTAATGACTTGCACAAAGCATGCAAATAATCAGCTGTCTGCAAGGAGTATAAATCCTCTCATTTCCCACCATTTAGTCACAGCCAAAGTTTCTTAGAGGTGAAGCAAAACATCTTCAAAAAAAAAAAACCAGACAGTCCAGTTGCCTCTTGAAAAAGCACCTTTGGGATACTTGCAGTTATTTTTTCATCACCCTAAATGTGAATCTGTGGCATTTGAGGCAGCCATTAAATGAGGACTACCTACAATACTTTCTAAACTTGCTTCTGTTTTCCATGTATACTTGTATGTAGCCCATCTGCAGATAAGCTGATCCTTGAATTTTTAACTAAAATACATGAAAAATGTGGGTTGACTAATCCAAAGATAGTGCATTTTTCATGGTATTCTGGTTAAACATTTGAGAGTTATCTAATATGTGGATGGGCTTATACATGAGTACATATGGTATATGCTCATTCTATTCTTATTGTAAGATCTTTTCCATGTTTTGCCGTAGAACAGCCTTTGAATTCTCTAAAATCTCCCAGAATGTTAGCAATCCAGTCTGAATAGAACAGGAAGCATAATAAATTGGTATCTGGCATATTTCAGGCCTGGTTTAAAGGCTTGGTGATATCCTACGTGGCCTAAATAACATCAGATCAACCTCCCTTCCTTTATATAAATTTTCCGCGGTCTTAAGGCTCTCCTTGATGCAATACTTCAAATAGGGCCTTTTTAGGAGAAGAAGAGATTCAGAACACCTTATCCCACATAAGAAGTTTTCATATTGAGTTAAATATATGTTTTCCACTATTTTACTGCTAAGATGTTTTTCTGGCTAAAGGTTGTAGTAAAATTGATGTAATTGTTAAGATGGCTTGATTGCATATGAGCACAGATGTCGAGAAAGCAATTGATATATTCTAAGTCAGGGGTGTCAAATTCGTGTCGTCGTTGTAGCATCATGTGACACAGCGGGACTTTTCCCCCCTTCATTAAACCAAGTATGGATGTAGCCAGCGCATGACACATCAGTCCCACAGGCCGTGAGTTTGAAAGCGCTGTTCTAAGTAGTGTAAAAACCAAGGCGTGATTTAAAATCCAATCACCTAAGCATTATCCTCTACATCATTTACCTCTTGCCTGTATTGGATACCACAGGTACCTTTCTGACCATGTCTGCTAGCAAACTTATCTCCAATCTGTGGTATTCGGACAGACCGTACCTGGAGAGATAGAATAATAACAATCTATTACACCAACAATTCCCAAATGCTGGATTTATTCTTGCAGACACATTTGCATAACTCCTATACTTACTCTTATTTTACAAAACTTGTATCCTTCCTGGTTCAAGGTAATCATGACCTGGTCAACGATACCAGTTTCACTAGTTCGTAGAAAAGTGCTGCAATCCCTTTTGGTATAGCGACGATTGGTGCTCTCCAGTTCATCTTCGTTCTCAGGCAAAGTTACCGTCTTGCCAATGATGACATCATCTCCTGAGACACGTACGCCAGGTGCAATCAAACCAT